ATAATCTGTGTCTGCAGTGCCTTTTCCCCTCCTTTATCTTTCTGCACCGCTACAGAGATAGGAAAAACCAAAGTGTTTTTTCTACTCTCACACATCACTCAGCACAACGCTTCTCACACCAGATGTATGGGCGTTTCTCTCCACACACCAAGTGATCAGTTCTCTGGCAGACACCAAGTGGGTGTCCTACAATTCAATTTAATTCTGACACTCTCTACCTGGAATAAGAGTCGACCCCACAGATTAAAAGCTCAGTCCCACAAGACTGCCTCCCACTTTAAATGCTAGTAGCAAGCCCTGGGTTATGTCCTGTACTTCTGATCTGCTGGCTATGGATTCAGGTTTCCAAAACCTCCTTCTCAGGTTCTATTAATTTGCTGGAGTGGCTCACAGAACACAGGGAAACACTTTGCTTACATTTATCCAGTTATTGCAAAGGATATTTTAATTTTAATTTTTTATGAAGTTGATATGATTTACTAACAAGTATTAATTATTGATCTTGATACTTCTGAAATATTTTTTCATTGACTTCATTCATATTTTTAATATGAAAATTAAGAATTCCTTTAAAAATCTTTTTAAATTTTAAGTTCTAAGATACATGTAGAGGACGTGCAGGTTTGTTTAATAGGTAAATGTGTGCCATGGTGGTTTGCTGCACCTGTCAACCCATCACCTAGGTATTAAGCCTTGCATATAGTAGCTCTTTATCCTAATGCTCTCCCCGTCCCCTGCTTACCTCCCACCTCTTCAGGCCCCAGTATGTGTAGTTTCCCTACCTGTGTCATGTGTTCCCATTGTTCAGCTCCCACTTATAAGTGAGAACATACAGTATTTGGTTGTCTGTTCCTGCATTAATTTGCTGAGGACGATGACTTCTAGCTTCATCCATGTCCCTGCAAAGGACATGACCTTGTTCCTTTTTATGGCTGCATAGTATTCCGTGGCACATATACCACATTTTCTTTACAAAGGATATTTTAAAGAATACAAATGAGCAGCCAGATGGAAGAGATGCTTAGGGCAAGGTATGTGGGAAGAGGTGTGGAGTTTCCATGCCCTCCCTGAGTGTGCCACCCTCAATATACCTCCACACATTCATCAGTCTGGAAGTTCATTCAAACCCTGTTCTTTGGGGTTTTTATGAAAGTTTAATTATGTAGTGGTCATTGGTTATATTATTAGACATTGGTGATCCACTTAAACCTTCAGCCTTTCTCCCCTCCCTGGATGTTGTAGGATGTGGCTGAAGGTACCAACCCTCTAATCATGTCTTGAATTTTCTGGTGACCAGGCCCCATTCTGACTCTGTATAGGAGTCTCCAGCAACCAGATATCTCATTAACATACAAAATACACTCTTACCACTCCAGAATTCCAAGGGTTTTAGGAGCTGTGTGCCAGGAAACTGGAATGAAACCAAATAGGCATTTTTTACAATAAATCACAATATCATAAATCTGCAGCCCCAGCAACTTGGTAGATAATCTTTTAACATCAGAATCGAAAAAGTGGAAGGTGAGCTCAGAGTGCATTCCAGATCAGTCCTGTTTCATGTCTCTTTTCATTGTATAATCTGAAGTTTAGTCTCAAGATTCTGCCATCTCACCGCTACCCATTTCTAAATGGAAATTTTTCAGCTGGTTGCAGCCAAGAACCACATATGAGGAGGAATAAGAGACAGCCACCTTCTAACTTTTCATTGCTTGGCAACAGTGAATGCTTACAGTTTACGAAAAAAAAAATTACGACTTTATGGGAATCATTTAAAAAAGGGACTTTGCAGATATTTTATCTTTGTGATAACACATTCTACTGATCAGTGGATATGTGAATAATACATCATTTTTGGTAGATACCAAAAAATTAAAGTTTTATAATAAGAGATGTAAATTAGTCATCAGTAGAGAGAAATGGGTGCCCTAAAACATGTAATATTTGGAGCTATAATGCCTTCTAAAGGAGGATATATTATTAAAGCCATCATTCATTTAACAAAAACTATAGGTACTTACCATGTTCCAGGTACATGGCTAATTTCTGGGGCAACAAAAATGACTAAATTATTGTCATCCTTGCCCTTGAAGTACTGGTTAAAAGAGACAGATAAAGAAATGATTGCAGAGCATGGCACTAAGAAGGATGATAAAGGTTAAAAAAATAAATGAGTGCTGTATAGTTTATGAGACCACAGAAGAGGAAGGTGTCAGCTCTTAAGATGCCTGGGAAAATAACAGAATGAAAGGGTATACATTGAACATTTATTGAATGAATGAATGAATGAATGAATGGTGTCACCAAGCTGATTTGATCACAGTGTTACATGCTATGTCCTGAAACAATGACCTAGAATTTTGCAAATAAAAGGGAAGGCTTAAGGGAGTAGTCAAGATGGAATCTACATTGCAGAACACTGTGGCCTCAAGGTGAGAAGGGAAGCTTTGTGATTCCTACAGCCCCCTAAAAATTTAGTAACATATTTTAAATAATGTAAGCTGCATGCTGTTATTTCCTAGAAAGATGTAGTTTGCTGGGGATAACTTGTGTCTAGGTGAAGCTTCTGCATGATAGCTTATTTCAAATTATATAACAGAGTATACATTTTAAAGAGAGCCAGCAGTGAATCTTTTGGAAAGAAAAAAGTTATCTTAAAAGTGGATGGTTTTTGATTTAGGATTTTGCATGTTTGCTTTCATAAATAGGTTTCTATATCTGGTTTCCTACATTGAAGTTTTTATAGATTTAATATTTATCATAATATAAAACTACATCTGCTCCCTGGAATTGTGTGTACGTGTGTGTGTTTACGTGTATACATGTGCATATTTATCTGCCAACATCCGAATTCCCTCCATAGCAATACAAATGTAAAATTAGTATGTCATTCACAGAGGTGCTGTTTAGTATTTAAATCTATAGCTAAATACTAGTCTATTCTGTGAATAAGACTCTTTCTCTGGTATACTGTAGCTCTCAAGCACGTTATTAATGTCATGTTAGATATTTTAATATCATAACCACAAGTTAGTAAATAAAACATCTAACATAATAACATGGCCAACTCTTTTCTCATGAGTTCATGTAACCCTTATGATTTCCATCTACAACCATATTTTAAAGTGCCAAATATGAAACTGGTCTTTTTTTCTAAAAACTCAGTGTTCTCACATTCCACTTGAGTCTTCATGTCTAATTGTGATATTTAAAGTAGGTCATTTAGCTGCTGATTTTGCTTCTAACTCCGGTCTTCTTAACACTATCAGATGTTCCTTTCCATCATATTTTTTTTCCACTTCCAGTTGCAGAACCCACATTAAAAGTAGTTGAGTGGAAAATGGAATGAGCAATAAGCTCTCAGTTTACTATTCCTTTGAGAAATTTTGCAGTGAAGGTACAGAAAGATAAGATGGTAGGTTTGTTGTGGGGGAAGGAGGATAGAAGGAGAGTTTATCAAAAGGAAGAAAATAAACAGTTGAGGGATTTAAGACGAGAAGGAAAGAGGGAATGTCTGCTGGATTCAGTTCCTAGAGATGGAACACAGAGAAACCCACAGCCTTCGTCTCCCTTTATTTTCTCTGATTTCCAAAATACCTGTATTTTTATTTTTAACTTTATAATAGCAAAAATATTGTTTAAGAAGTCAATAATTCCTAACATTTTTAGGATTTATTAGTGTAGGGTACCCAGTATAAGGCAAGAGCCCAGTTCCATGGAGCTATCAGCACTAAAGAAGGTAAATTACAGAAGACGTTCAAAAGCGTTTAGAAGCTTATGTGCTCCTTAGTAGTTTACAGATTGCCTTATCTCCATTTTTCATCTGCATCCATTGATCACATTTCCTCAATGTTTAACACAGAGCAGAACCACTTCCATATGTTTTATTTATATGTGTGTATTATACATATAAACTGTATTTTTAAGGATGCATTTAAATGTTCCCTTTCTTCACCTGACATTAATACTAAGAATGGAAAATTGTGATATCATTCAGCAAGGAGAGGAATTGAGGTACATTTTATTATTGAGTACATGCAGGTATAGTTGGACAAATTGGATAATTTAACCAAATTGGATTATATGAGATTCTGGCCTTAAAACTATCATTCTATTATGTCTTCTGATGAAACGTAACTGCATCTGAGTTGTGTAAACTGATAAAAAAAATAATTGCAAAATACAAAGATCAACCCGCAACACTAGTTACATGGAATAGCATGAAATAGAAAGAAAACTACTCACCTAAATAAAATATTTCTTACACACTTAAAGCATGTATACTAACATTATATAAGTACACATCTAAATGAATGCTTATCACTGAGCAATATGATTTCTAAAATGTTATTCAAAGACAATTTGGCTGTCCATAAATCTTTTAATTTTAAGCTGACGATTTACAGTTTTTCCTTTCATCCTCTTGTTTTGAAAGCTTGATGTGGGAGTGCTAATTAATGTTAGAATTCTTATCTAATGTACTTGTTGCTAAGCAGATAGAACTATCAGAGCATTTTATTTTGAAACTCTACTCTTTTCTGACTGATAGAGCATTTGAAATCATGCTTGAAGAAACATTTCACGGCAGGGAACCAGTGCTCTTATTAAGAACATATTGCCCATGACCAATTCACTGGTTTGTTTATTTACACAGTGCCTATTGTTCCTGTGGCTCATACATGCATTGTGTTGAAAATCACATGTAAAAGATGCGAACACTAAGTTGTCTTATCAGTGTGAGAATATGCAATTTATACAATCATAAAACATGAAAGTTAATGAAAAGTTTACTTAGAACTGTACATTTTGGCTGCCAGACAGAAGTTTTTACTGACTCCTTGGGTGGTCTTAGCTGGATTGCATGTTGACTTCTGTATTCTTCATATATGTTTTTTTGACTCAATTTGAGTTTCTTCAGAAGCAGTTTCTGTGCCAGAGGTTCCTGTTTGTGTTGTTTATTTCATAGGTTCATAAAATACTGATAGGGAAGTAAGAAATGAGAAGCCTTGGAAATGGTTTAAAACCATGTCTCAGAGCTATCCAACCCAAGGGGCAAAGGAGGTAGGACATTTATGCACCACCTCTTCAGTCAATGGCTGAGTGCCACAAGGTTTGAAGAAGATGTGATGTCCCTGACACTTAATAGCCTGCCATGCAAAAAGGCACAGTAGTCTTTGAAGCTTCAGAGAAAGCACTGAGGCAAGGAGAGACAATTACCTGTACTAGCAGTTGGACGCCATTTGGGGACCCTGAAGCAATAACACATGGATGCTCCAGGTGGGCCACCAAATCATCTGCCATTGTGGGCTTACATCCACCCAATGTGTCTTTTTTTTTTTTTTTTTTTTTTTTTTTTGAG